AATTTTGCAATGGAAGGGGCTGTACATGAAACATTATGTAGAGGGAGAATGTCTGTGAAAACTCAAAAGAATAAAAAACTATGATAAATTAGGGAATCGCAAATAAAATGTATGGTATGTGTATTAGTTTTCTGGAGCTGCCATGACGAAGTGCCAAAAACTGGGCGACAAGAGAAATTTATTGTCTCACAGTCTGGAGGCTGGAAATCTGAGATTAAGGTGTCGACAGGGTTGGCTCCTTCTGAGGGCTGTTAGGAAGAATTAGATCCATGCCTCTTCCTCCAGCCTTTGGTGGTTTGCTGGCAATTTCTGGTGTTCCTTGGGTTGTAGATTTGTCACCCCATTCTCTGCCCTCATTGTCACATGGCTTTCTTCTTGTGTGCATGTCTATCTCTGTGCACAGATTTCCTCTTTTTATAAAGACACCAGTCATTGGATTAGAGCCCACCCTCGTCTGCTCATTTTAACTTGATTACCTCCATAATTCTATTTTCAAATAAGGTCACATTCTGAAGTACTAGGGGTCTAGGGCCTCATATGTCTTTTGGCGGGGCAGAGTTCAACACATAACAGTATGAGTATGGCTAGCATATAGGCTGTATGCAAAGGTGGAATGGGGAAAAGAGGAAATGGAGGCACTCATAGGAATGGGAACAGAAAGATGGGCTTAGATTCTTAAAGATAAATACTTTCTAAATAGAAACACAAGCATTTATTCCAAACATGTAATTTAAGATGAGTTTTAAGGACAGAGTATTCTCTATCTGCAGCCAGAAGATTTGGTTCTGTGTCTCTACTAAACATAGACTTAAAGAATGCAGGACAGTGAACTTGATTATTTAACCTTTAGTTTCTCAATTCTGAAGGAAAATTTTTCTCTAAAACAACATTATTTAAAAAAATTAGAATCATGGAAGTACACATATTGGTAAAGTTATACTATTATATTAAAATAGACATGAATCCTGGAGCTCAGACTTTTTTTCCACTTAAATAAGTATTCACTTAAACCACTTCGCTGGCAGCTTGCTCGTGCACAGCTCAACATCTCTCAATTATGCTTTTTCTCCCAGTTTTTCATGCTTTATAGTTTTATTTCCTACTTCATCCACTTCAAGGGACTTCATTTCCATGACTCTGGAAAGCACAACTCCCAGCCTCCTGTTACATGTGCTTTGAACTCCCCATGCCCTGCTTGAATCTGGTCACCACCTACTTCCCTCCCACACCCTGACTTGAGCGCCATGGGTGTCCTCCAGCCCCATCTGGGCAGCGTAGTGCCCCTCAGTGTGTGGCTTCCAGACACAGATGAGCTGTCCATGCTGCTCACCAAACTGGAAACATGAGCCTTCACCCCACCCGGGAGAAGCCCTGCCCGAATTCCAGTCTCCTCAAGCTCTCCTCTCCACTGTTGTCCTTTTCTGTCAGCTGATGACACATTTTAAACTTCACAGAGACCATCTCTCTCATTTCTGTTCAGATATCCTCATTAAGATTTGTGAATTCATGAGTGCACATGCTTTCTTACCTCTACTTTTATAGAAAATGTTCATGGCTCTTCAGCAGGTCTAGTCCTTAGGTTGGTGACATGCCCTCTATCTCATTTTTTTTCCTGGACTTTGTCTGATCAGCTACTTTTGGCATTTGTCCCTCTTTTTCTCAATGGCTTCTTCTGAATACATCATAAATAAATCCATGTCTCTCATATTAATATACATATTAAGGAATGCATCCAGCTCTCTCCTTTGTTGTTCTCAGGGAAAGAGAGAAGTAATCTCTACTTCTACCCCATCAGTATCTTTGAGTGATTTTTAAACTTACTTATTCCTGGATACCAGACTGACTGCCCAACTGATCCATCCAGTGTCGTTTTTAGTTCAGTTGATATTTGCACAACATAATGGCTTACTCAACAGCTTCCTTGAGATATTCCTCAAGGATTTCAACAAAACATTTCCTAAGATGAACTTTACAACCCATTCTTCCTCCTGCCTAGTGTCTTGGTGAACATCACTCAACAAACAAGCCAAAAATCTGGGTGTCTTCTGATATTCTTTTGTCCCTCTAATCTTCTTTTTAAATAGTTACCAAATCTTTAGATCTCTTGTATGCATTCTGCCTTTCTATCCCTACGCAATTGCTGTGGTTAAATGTGCACGATTTTTCACTGGACTATTAAAATAAATTTCAAACTCATTTTTATATTTCTTACAAGCTTAAATGCACATTAACTGCTCTCTCATGGCCTAGGATAAATCCAATCTCCTCAGAATGGTATTAAAAGGCTTTTTCCCCTGGTTTGACTGATGTCTAAATTATCTTACCACAGACTGTCTGATGAAAGCTATAGACTGTTTCTTCAGAAAATTGCACATTCCCCCATGCACGCAAGTTCACACTTTCTTGTAGTGATCTCAAGGGTGTTCATGAACTCACTGAGATCTCTGTATGAGCATCATGGTCCAAACCAACCTCTTGCCACATTCTCCAACACTTTCAGCAATGCCGAAACACTTAATAGTTCCCCCTAAATGCCACGTTGTTTCTTGCTTCATGATTCCCCCTCACACATCCCTGCCTACCTCTTTCATTTGAGAAATAGAAGAAAACTCACTCATCTCTTCTCTACATTAGCCTGAGATCTCCCCTAGGCTTATTTTCATTTCCTCCTCACACACAGGTCTGGGTTATTCCTCTCCTTTATGTCCTTATTATATATGACTTCTAGTAAAAAATAATAAAATAAACCTGCAATAGACAGTGTAACTTAAGGCCATAGAGCCTTGAAGTGAGAATGACAAGGCTTTGGATGCCAGGAGAAATGCACATATTTGGTAAATAGTACAATGTCTCGTGGCCCAGGTACTGAGAATTTAAGGTTGAGGAAGAAGGAATTTCTTCTATCAAATTAGTACCATTGGAGACTTTCTGATGGAAAGGGCATTTAAATTGGTTTAAAAAACTATAGAGGCTTTGGGAATGCAAAGATTGGATGTAGAGAAGAAGATTGCTGATAATTCTCAGACCTGGAGGACATTTACTAAGCTGTCTTGAACTTTAGAAATTAGAACCTTAATTGTGTCATGAAATTGTCTTTGCAGTACTATGTTAATTACAAGAATTAAATTTCATGCGATTCATGTGACTTACCCCCTGACCTATTTCTTTATTTCTTATTAGAAATGTGATTTTCTGGAATTTATGCTGAGTTCATTTTTCTAATTGTCAGGTCATCATTATATTAATGATTTGTAAGATTTGAAATACTTTTTTATTCAATTTTTTTTGGAAGTCTAACCTATGGGAAACTCATTAACAGAATTTTCAATGGGTTAATAGGCTTTTGACTCACAATAGCATGGTCAAGTTCTGCAGTAAGGAACTTCACTTGTTTAACTCACTACTTCACAACTTAGTTGACATAGAACCCACTTTTCCACAGCTATTACTATGTCAAAGGACTATTTCTCTACAGTTGGGTAAATTATAATGAACTATGAATATTCATGTGCTATGAACTCTCATTCCCAATAGAACTACTTATTAAGCATCCAATTTTAGTTGTTTTACATTTTTATTCACATCTCAAAGATTCCAAAATGCTACTAAACTCAAAGTACTTGTATCATAGATAGTATATGTGTGTTTAAAATATTTTTATTAACCTTTTGTAAGATAATTATTTTATTATATTACAGCATCACAGATCTTTTGGAACCAAAAGGATGGTTAGATTTCAAATGGTTTTCCTCTTCACAATTTATTTAAGGACTTTGAATGTTAAGAAATTTATAAATATCATGGAGAGATTCTGTAGTGGAACTTAGGCTTAACAGTGGATATCTTAAATTAAGCCCAATATACTTTTGTGGCTCACTAATCTAATTCTTTGCTTAATAATATAGTTATAAATAATGAAACTGATATTATTTGTGATTACATTTGAGCTTTGGTGACTTAAGGTTAGAATAAAAAACTAGACGAGTTTATGTAAATATCACATTTCTAATGTATAATCATTACTAAGTTTGGTTGAAATAATATTTGGCCTACTTGAAAACAAAAACTTTAATATAGAAATAAAATTATAATATTCAGAAGAAATATTACTTAAGTATCTAGAATTTTGGAAATATTAACTCTACAAAATACAAAATATAAAGTGGAAGTCAGTTTTCTTATTCCTATTGGGTTTTTTAGTTTTTCATTTAATAAGATCTTTTAAAAACATGAAACTAATCTTGGGGATCAAAGTCATTAGGAGAACACAACATATTTTGCTTATTAGTTGATTCTAACCAGTTCTGTGGTTTAAGCGTAAGTTTTGTTCTTTGTTTTTTTTGTGTGTGTGTTTTTTTTAAGGCAGAGACATTTCCATCTGTTAGGAAATATTAAACTTGAAAATTCATTTTGACTATGGCACTATATCATAACCTCTTCCTTGCTAACTTTGAAAAAAAAATTAGGAGATATTATGCCCTCAATCAACCACATCAAAAACAAATTCGAAAGAGAAAATTTATTGTATCCTCTCCTTAAATGAAATCACTTTTTTATTATAATTTCATTTTATTCCTAAGAATGCCAGGTTATAATACAGAGTTTGAAAGCTTTCAAGGTCTAAAAACACATGATCCTAGATTTCTTTTACTTAAAGAAATGAGTATTTGTGTATATATAGAAAACCTCTAAGTTCAGGAAACACATCCAGCCTTTGCAAAAGTACGGAAATAACACACCACTTCAGCATTTTAACTAGACAACATGAAATGCAAAATCGAAGTCCAGTGGACTTAGCTCTAATCTCTGCAACTTTATCACCATGAAGAGAATGAATGTTGCAAAGTCAAACATGACAATAAAATGTAAGAAAGAGGTAAATTTGCAAAAGAATAAGATATATTTGCTTAGGTGTATATGCAGATGTTGAATCATTAGTAAGAGTATATGTTATGTGGAGAAATCATATGGCCACATTTTTTAAAAATTTAATATTTCAGGTATTCTACTCTCCACTGGCTCTCTTCATACCACCTTCAGTATATGCTGTCCATCTTCAGTTCAATCTCCTCTACCAATTTTGGATCCACACGGAGGTAAATCCTTTTGCTTTTGTTTTGTTTTGTTTTGTTTTGTTTTATACCTAAATAGCCTGAAGCAATGTCCTGGAAATCCACTAGCAGCTGATTTATTGTGTAAGAAAATCTTTGTCTGCATTCTTTAAGGAGAAACATCTGTTCATTTTTATTCCTCTTTACTGAATATATATTGCAGAGTTTATAAGAAACAATGAGGCCAGTTGGTCTCAATTAAATAAAACCATTTTTTGAACTATTAAGTACCAAAACATTTTAATACTTTATTCAATACAATATCTTCCTGTATTACAGTTTATTAAACATTGTTTGCCAAAAGATGTTGAAATTTATTTTAATATAAAGATATAAATTTATATACACAATTTATGTCTTTGAATATATATTTATATACAAATATTTATAATAAAATTTTATTTTTATAATGTACTTTACAATATCATGTATTATATTAGTAAATGTTTAATTATATATAAATATATTTATAATATTTACACATTATATAAGTGAGAAGTCCTTGAAAATTCCTTGACAAAATTTGAATGCCTAAAGAATTATAAAAATATTTTTTGATTAGAAATCTTGCTTTAACTTTAGAGTTCAAATTTTATTTAAAAGGTGTTCAATATATTGTTGGGGGTTTTTTTTCCCCCTAGAAAAGTGAACAAATGTAGTTCTTGGGTCTTCTGTGGTATCTCAAATTGTCAGACTTGAATGTTTGCAGAAAGATCATTAAGCAACTGATTGGTTTATGAACTATTGTACTGATCTGGTTGTTAAGTAACAAAAAAATCACAGACCCCCAAAAATTCTTACTTATACACATGAGAACCCTTTCAAGCATTTGGTATTTATTGGAAGCCTTTTGAAGTCCTATAGGAAGCATGTTGACAGCTGTTGCAACCAGTTGAACACCACCACAAATCACAGCTGCATTAGATGCCAAAGCTTGATGCAACAAAGAGCATTATTTCATTAACCTGCAGTGTTTTATGCTACTGATTTACTCGGAATAAAGAGACTGTTACCATGACTTTGGGCATATGTGGCATTCTTTGAAGATCTGTTTTGAAATAGCATTGCATTTTATGCCAGTTGACATACATCAAACAATCAATACTACAACCACCCGAAAGAGTTGTTGAGGCCAATTCTGACTCTAGGGGTCAAAGACCAAATTTGTTTAAATCAGTGGAGGGAAGCTTTCTGATGATTTAGATGGAGGGGCTGAAGGGGAATTACGTTTTTATAGCAGCTCTGCTCCAGGTTATGTCATGTGTTCGGTCAGGTATTAGTTGGATATAGAACAATGGTGCCTAAGTAACTTCTTTCTTTCCCTGTGTCCCTCCAAGAGGATTGTGAGTCAGGGCTTCAGTTCCATCTGAGGAAGAAAGGGAGAGTGGAGGAAAGCCAATGGTGAGGCATTTAAGCTCAAAACCTCCAGGCAGCTTTACTTCCAACTCAAAAGCAATGCATTAGAACCTCTCACTTGTGTTGTACATCATGCTTTTGAGTGTTCTGTACAATGTGTAGTTTGAGCTGCACAGGAAGCAAAAAGCACATTTTCCGAAATTAAGGTTTTGATCTTTAAATTACATTATTAGGTGGGAATATATTTCTAAGATTTTTTCTGCAGCTGTGTTTTTGCCTTTATTATTATTGACAGCATACTATCATTTGTTTACAAATAATAGAATCATTTAGGAAATAGAAACAAGAGATTTGTAACAGTGGCTGCTTCTAGACAAAGGGGCAAGTGAAATAGAGAACTGCATTGGGGAGAAGATAACCTTTATTTAAAAAATATTCTTATGTGTTTGCCCTATTTTTTTTAAATTAAAGGTTAATACACGTTAGATTTTAAAGTAAAAATGGGAAACTATGAACCTCAGTTAAAAAAATACCCATTTATGACTCTTTAGACCACTTGAGCACTGCTTAATTTCAAGCATCATACTTAGGGATTCATTCACAGGAACAAGATACAAACCATAGACTTGACAGTGTTGGCCAGAGAGCCCTGCACATTCCTGAATGGAGATTTGAGTCGTACAGCTGTTTCACTTCTGCTGACCTCTATGAAATCAGTTCCCACTCGGAAGGGAAACTGGCCTTAAGGAGGTACTGAGTTTCTAAAAGTGAAGAAAAGTTCACTCCCTTCGGTCAATCAGGCTAAGATAAAAGAAAAAAAAAAAACAAAAACCAACAACTAAAATGGTTTTGAAAGATTGTATATATAAGAAAAAATCTCATAAAATAAACTATACTTTATAATGAAATTTTTATTATTTTGAGTAACTTTGATGAAATGACAGCATCTCTTCCCTCCTTCTCTTTTGAAAGTTCCAAAAGATTCTTCTTGAAACTATATTCTGTTGCTTGATTTGTATGATTATTTTTTAATTTTTCATTCACTTGAAATATCTGCAGCACATAGTCATACTTTTTTCCTGTGATTATACTAAAGGCAATTAGGAAATCTTTTTTTATTTAAAACATGTTTTTAATTTAATAAGTGTGAAGTGTTATAATTATTTGTTTGGCTATTGTATGATATTTGGGTATTAGCTGATTTATACAGCACAGTAGTAATAGTGACATTATCTATTACCTTTCATTTATCTTAAATTTACCATCATGTTTTTCATGTACGTGTCAGGTGATCTGGGCAGAGAAATGTAACAGAGAAATAATTCTTTGGTATTAAAGATTTGAACCATATAATTAAATGACTTTAATAATGCTAAACTGAAGCCCCTAACTGGAACATTATGAGGTTAGAAAAAAATGAGCAATTTACGTACTAATATAGGTAGATCTCCCAAAAATAAAGGTGCATGACAGCATATAATGTATGCTACTATTTATGTTAAAAAGGAAAACCAACTATATGTTTATATATGTATAAAATGTCTCTGGAAGTACACATGGATACTCAACTATTTTTTTCTGGGGAAGAATATTTTGGATGGCTGGAAGCATTAGAATAAAATATTAGCATAATTTTACCCATTCTAATGGGCAAGGAGCTATTTTGTGGTACTATTTCTCTAATAACTAATGTTTAACAGCATTCTATGAGTTAATTACACAGTCATATATTTGCTTTAATGAACTGTCTGTTCAAGTTCTTATCTACTTTTTATTCAGTTATTTGTCTAATTGACTTGTTGGAATTCTTTATACATCCTGGATATGTCATTTATCAGATATATGTGTTTTAAATATATTCCCCCATTTTGTAACATACCTTTTTATTTTGTGTCTGATAACTATTGATGAAAAGAAATTTTGAAGTTTAATTTATCATTTTTTCTTTTAGGAATAGTTTATTTGTTTATTTTTTGTATTTTCTCTAAGATATCTTTGACTATCACAGAGTCTCCAAGAAATTATCCAAGGATTTATTTTGGAAACTTTGAGTTTTAATTTTACATATAGTCTATGATATACTTGAATCAACTTTGTGTATGGTATTTGGCAGGGCTCAAGATTTACTATTCCTATGTATACCCACTTATTTCTGCACCATTTATACTGCAGACTTTCTTTTGTCCATTGGATTAGCTTGGTGATATTGTAGAAAATGTACTGACCATATATGGTTGGGCTAATTTTAAACTTCTGTTCTCTTCCACTGAGTCATTTATCTCCACTTATGTGAATCCTTCACTTTAGTAATCTATAAAGTTTTGTAGGAAGATTGGTTCGTACAATTTGTAAAGTAATTTGTTTTAAAATTCACTAAAACTCTTCTTGTGTAAAGGTTTGTGGTCTTTGAACAAATATAGTTTTATTTCTTTATTTCCTGAATTTATGCTGTTTATTTCTTTTTTCTTGCCTCATTGGATAGAGTTCTCAGGCAATATATTTTAAATCAAATTTGGAAAAATAACTACTCATTATTTTCTTAAACATTATTTCTGTATTTTTCTCTCTCCCCTCTTTTGGGACCCAAATACATGTTTATTATATTACTTGATATTCCCTCACAAAATGATAATACTCTGTAATTTTTTAAAATTTATCCTGATTATTTTTTTATTTTTTAGATTTGATAATATCTATTAATTTGTCTTCAAGTTTATTTACCCTTTTACAAATTTTCTCCAATCTGCTATTAAGCCCATTTAGTAGATTTCTCACATTAGATATTAGTCTTTAAGTTCTGGAATTTTTATTTATTTATAAATAGTTTTAATCTGTCTGCTGAAACTGTCCATTTGTCACTTATTATTACTATATTTTTATTTTAATCTTAATAATAATTAACTTAAATTTCTTGTCTGCATAAGTATAACACCTGAGTCATGTGCAGGTCTACATCAATTGACTGTTTTTATTTTTTGCTTGATTTGAATCACATTTTTCTTCTTTATATGTCTAGTAACATTATTATTATTAGTCAATATTTATGGTAAACTTATTGTAAAGACTCTAGATTATGTTATAGTCTTCTTACCATTTCTTAATTTTATTTTAAGAGGCAGTTAAATAATTGGCTAACCATTCTGAGTATTAGAGGCTTTGATTTACCTTTTGTTAGAAGAAGTAGATCTTTTATTACTGTCTTTAGTCTTGGGCATATTTCTTATCCTTTGCAGTCCTTAATCTTAAGATAAGACTTACAACAAAGCCAATTTCACTTGGTAGAATTTGAACTCTAAATTCTGTCTTGCCAGCAACAGGCAGTAGTTGCTCAGCAATTTTCTAGCTATTTACCTTCCTGCTTTTGACCAAGTTCCCCAGTGCCTTGTCCTATGCATGGGTTATTTAAGGGTCAGCAAAGACTCTTCATCCATGAGTGATGTTTCAGGCAGACCTGTGTTGCTCCTCCTGATATTGTGGCTCCTCTTCCTGTGTTTTGTTGTTGGGGGGCGGGGGGGCTGGGGGAGGGGCTGCGGGCAGGGAGGCTTAGATTTTCCCTTTCAATTATCTGTCCTTAAATCAAAGTTCCATCTCTGACTCCTAAACCAATGAGATTAGAAATTTCCCACTCT